ATTCTAGTGGTCGCTCTAGGTTCGTCGAACGAGAGAGAGAGAGAGAGAGGGAGAAAGAGAAAAAGACAGAGAGGTTTCTGTTTCGTCGTTGGTTGAAAACGACCGCAAACTTCATAACGCGACGTTTCGCCGCAACTGGAGTCAGTAAACTCGAGCCGGCAGCGAGCCTTCCACGCTTTTGTTTCGACGAGGCATTAAACTTTACACGTGGTGGATCGTTTGTAATTCTATGAGAAGGGAAATTTCCCCTCTTTCCTTTTTTCTTTTTCTTCCTTTTTTTTTTTTTCAAACTCTTTTCCAACGCTTTTTACGCAGTGACAATTTTTTTTCCAGCACGACGAATAACGAACCTTGGTCTCGTCTGCCTCGATAAATGCTACGAAATTTTTTATTCGTCCTAGCACGCATGGATTCGTACTATTTGCGCACAAAAGGTGTGAACGTTGAATTGTTTTTAGCTCGGCCAGATTTAATCGTTCCATTCTTCTTCTTCTTCTTTTTTTTTTTTTAGTACGTTTGGATCATCTCTCGTCAACAAAATTAAAGAAGAAGATCTCTTAAAGATTCTTAATTTTTCTTATTCGAGGATTTAATAAATTGTCGAACGCGATAAAAATCTTGAAGAGATAAAAAATCATTGTTATTACTATCTACGTTTTGTAAATCAAACGACGAATCTGAGACGACCTATAAATAAAGATAGAAATTTAAATAATAAAGTCGAAACGACGAACACGTAAAAGCTAATATCCGATTGGAATACATGAATATTCTGTTTACCGGATAGCGCATCGTCGTTTGACTACGTACGAGCATCATAGAACCCCATGCGAGATGCCGGGTCGGGTAGATATAGACCGCGTCTGACTCGATACGGGATTATTCTCCTCGCCTGTCGGTACATTACCGCTCTACTTGCACAGATGTTGACCTCTTCTACTTGCCTGTACACAAGTGTAGTGCTGCGCTACTTATCTCTGGCAAGATACGGTGTATCGCCGATCAAAACGCCCCGTTGAACTTAAAATGGAACTGCTTATCGATGCGAACACGACATCGTTCTGCTTAATTACACAGACATTTCTGCGAATGCGCATGGTCACTCCGCTTCCGATCGGAATAGTAAAACGATATATCTTACCACGCTCCACTTGCTCCTCTTCTTTCCTTCCCAACCAACCATTCTTAATTATCTTCTCTCGATTTATTTTAACTTTACGAATTTCAAATTTTTGGAAAATTAGAGTTTTTCATCATTTTTATCATCATCATCATCTCACACGCATCCTAAAGAAAATAAATAAAGTAAAATATAGCGAACAAAAATAATTTTTCACTCGACAAGGAAAAGTTGTTCGCGTGGTAATATTCTTTTTTTTTTTTTTTTTCTTACTCGACAAGAAAAAATTTAGGTCGAGAAGGGTCGAAGGAACGAGACGTTGATTCTCGCGTGTCAGCCATGAACAATAGCCCATCCTTATTCGTCGCTTATTGCCGGGGTGAAAGTCGGAGGGCAACCGTCAGCCGACGTTTACGACGTTCCTACGCGTTTCCTCGAGAACACATCTTTTATTTCCTTCTCTCGGCTGCCACGTGTGCTTCCTTCCCTTCCACACCCATACGGCGTATCGTTTTACGGTGGTGTTACAGGTATAATAAATAACAGGTGACGAGGTATTATGATCGTCTTGCCTAGCACGGCCGGTTACACCGTGCGCGTAACACGTGTCGCGTTAATGTCGTACTTATATCACTGACGCGTCCATTCTCGAGCACGTGTGCACGTTCTCTTGTTTAATGGTTTTATCGGTTGCAACGTGATATGCAATTAAAACTTCCTCGTGTTCCCCATTTTTGTGCTTTCTTCGAAAAACGAACTTGTCGTCACTGAATTAAAGGAATATTAAAATTTAGAAAGCAAGAGAAAGTTAATTAATAAATTGAATTATTAAAATAATTGTTAGAATGGAATAAAAATATAAAAAAAAAAATGTAACAATTCCACGTTAATTGGTATAAATATATAGTCACGTCAACTTTATGAGAACATATATATCTATTCCATGTCAAATGTGATGCGAAGTTTATCCTTATACTTGTCAGACACTATGCAATTCCCTATACAGTTTCCCTGTTAGTCGTTCAGTTAGCTATAAACTCACTTTACTATTTCTACTTCACTCGACTATTAAACGCGGACCTCCTATTCCACTTGTTTGCATATTACAAGAACGCTTTTGTTCTATTTTCTGGCTGAACGGATTTCGATTCTTCTCCATTTCAAAATTAAATCTTTATTTTCAGCTTAACGAGACAAATATTTCTCGTAATAAAAATTTCTCACTAGAATATTTCTTTCAACAAGATCTTCTCCTCATTTCCTAAGTGATTAACAGCGATATATATATAATAAACAACAAATACTCGTCTCTCTTATTTAATTATCTAATTTCATTCTTCACACATCATTCAAGAATATACAAAATCTGAAGATATTTTACACGCGAAAACGTGTACACAAATTCTTGAAATATATTATCTACATTACTTGATTTACCCCATAAAGAAAAACGAATATTCACTCTTTGAGAACCACACGTATTTAAATTATAACGATAATAATGAAAGATCGATACCAATGAACGAGAAAAATCCCAAAATTCGAAGGATGAAATATAGGCTACTATTGCAGCAGCCGTCGAATATACGCCCACGCACTTTTCGTGTAACCAAGAGAGCGACGCGATTTTTCGATCCCACGCATCCGATAAATCTACCTCTGCCCTCTATCTCCATTCTGATTCAGTGCTGTACGGGTATTCACCGTATCGCCGAAAGAGAGAGAGAGAGAGAGAGGAAGAGAGGAGAAAAAAAGAGCATCAATCGGGATATCTCGCATCTGAAACAGCGCAGAAAGTTAGCAAACGTCGAAATGATACAGAGACTTGGGCGAAATGTTGGCCACCATCAATCAAACGCCATTCGACGGCCCATCAATCAATGATCAAACCAATCAACGGTGTTGGCTCGATCGATGAAACGCCGTCGTTCAACGCAACGCAGTTCTTGATGAATATCTGGCTAGGATAGAAAAAATATTTGAAAGAATATATATATATATATATATTTTTCGATCGAACGATTCATGATCAAATGTACGAAATTCGATTCTTGTAATTAGAATCTCGTCTTCTTGGATAAAGAGAATTGCGGTTGAATTACAGTGTCTCGAATACGAGTATTTTACATCGTTGTACGAAATTTGAGGAATGGACGACGTTTGAACAATTGTTTTTATCCGATCGAAATTTTTTTTTTCATCAACAAGTTTTTAAATTTCAAGACAAGAAAAAAATATATACGAGTTGTGACAGAGTATCGAACATACTCAAGAATTACGAAATTAGAGAGATAAAGCTCGATCGTTATTAGCGTGTGTTAGGAATAAACGAAGGGCTACAGGCCAGCAGTTCGTTCCGTTTAAGAAATTATAGGAAATGAAATTGTACCGTGCGCTGCTTCCCACTAATTGAACGAATTCACATTCTCGTTTCTCGGGAATATTTAGAGAACCGTGTATAATCGATAAAATTACATCGTTAACAGACTTTTATTTCACGAGTTCGTTCAAATAATGAAAAAAAGACCTGATAAACAAAGTTATTTTAAAGTGATTAAAATCTTATGATTCGCTCTTCTCTTGATATAAAATTTTCTTCACAAAACCTTTGTAGAATTTATTACACTGTATATGAATTTTACAATGTTCTTAATTTTTGTAAAAAATTAACCGTAAATTAATTTAATTAAAATACAAGATACAAAGTAGTTCTATCTTCGTTAATAGAAAAGATTCATAAAAAGACGATAAAAGTTTCTGTTCCGTTAAAGTTTAAAGATATTTTTGTAAAATATCCAATCAACGAGTGTGCGTAAGATAGAATTAAAAATGTTTATTCAATTGTTCGTTAAATTTTTACTTTGACGAATGATTTAAAATCGAATCACTTTTGCATCGGAAATCGAAATTTGCATTCGGATTATTCTCGCCCGAAGAAACTCGGCACCACGTACCTGCAATGCAGTGGATTCGCTTGTGTGCCAACGATCACCTGTCCAGACGCGGGAGAAGCATTAATCCGTTGGCAAATGGCTAGAAATCGAGTCTGATCTCCGACGATTAAACTATCTTAACGATGCAACAAGTCATTTTGGTGATTCCAGGATTTCCTTTAACTATTCACTCACTTTTCCATTTTCCCTCAATCTTTGAAATATTGGAAGAAGATTGATAATTTTCAAATCTTCGAATTTTGTCCATTCAAAATAAAATAGAATAAAATAAAAATAATATAAATCTGGAATCAAAGCCAAGTAAAAGATAATTTCATATTCGAAGCAAATTCCTTTGAAACGAATTTACTCTTCTTGGAATTCCTCTTATATTCGATCTCTAGAATATTATTTAAACAGGCTTCCTTCTTCACATTTTACGTAACGTGTAACACATAGAAAACATGAAAATAGCGAAATAGAATTATAGAACTTGCCTCGTTTCCTTTCGATCTTTAAAAATATAACTTAACGCGCAATCATAAATCTATGGATTTGGATTAGCATTTCTGAAAAATAAAATTTAAAAGTTAGTTAAATAATAATAAATTTTAACAGAAAAGTTTCAGATTGTTTAAATTTCAAGAACGAAAAACATAAAAGTCAAGAGAACGTTCTAAACATCAAAAGAAAACCTCTTGAAACGAACTTATAATCTATCAAACTAGATTTCGACGTTCCCAATTTCAAACTTTCAGCCTCGAGTTGAACCCCGTACGAGATTTAATTATGAGCACTGTCGTCCTCGTCAAATTTACGATCTTTCCTCGGGTTCGTTTAATTAAAAGCATTTCGAACAGGCCATTTCTTCGTTCGTCATCGCCGTTTAATATTCGCCGGTGAAACTGTGATCGAATCGTCAAACTAACGAAGAACATCGGGGAAAAATAACTCTCCAAGGACTTTTCGTTTCTGGGATTAAAATGTGCTCGCGGTCGAACTAGAAAAGATGATTCGTAAGTGTTCGAGAAATTTTGGAAAATTATTATCGATCCAATGATTCAAATAAAAATTTATTTAAAGTGAAATAAAACGACGATGGCCAGACAAATAAAGCATTTCTTCGGACAAGTGAAGTAAGAGCGAAGTATCAAAAAGAATATGATAATGTTGATCGTATAATTTTAATAATTTCATTGAAGATATTCAATAAAGTAAATTAAATTTGAAAATTATTTATCGTTAGAAAAGTTTTCAAAGTACACGATATTTTATGAACAGTTATTTGGGACATATTGAAAACGAGGAAGTGTATATATATATATGTATATATTATGGTACTCGAGCCATAATAGAAGAGGATCTCGTATCTAGCCAGACAAGCAAAATTTCCGATATAACGAGGAAATTACGCGGTTAGAAAAGTAGAACAAGACCATATTTGATTCAGCAACCAGAATTGCTTTAATCATGGAAAGTGAGTATGTTCTTTCATGCAGAATAAGTCCACTTCAAATTTATATTTCAGAATATTTTCTTATTCAATGCGATTTACAAAAGAAATATATATATATATAAGTAGGAAAGATTTTTATTTCCACAAGTTTAAACACAAGAAATGTTATTCTCGATTTTTATTTCATTTTATTATACGGTAGAAGCATACGGTATTTCTATCATACACCATATGAACGTGATATATTAGAACACGTGTTAGAATTTATCGACAAACATCAACGACAAATAAATTGTACTGACGTTAGAAATGGAACGGAACATCGAGAAAAATGGACGTGCAATTATTTCTACGCGGAATACGTCCCGTTTTCAACGACACGAATAAAGTAAAAATCCGTTCTTTTTTTTTTTTTTGAAATTTCATTCCTTGCAATTTACGTCGTTCGTAGTTACGTGTCGATACTTAACAGATACCTCTGTGATCTTCGTTTTTCTTTCACGTCGATAACGCGTGGCAGAAAATCGTTTGCAAAATAATCGACAGTTGAAGGAAAAAGAAAAAAAAAAGGGCGGGAACATTGGCCGACGGTATAAAAACGGTTAAATTGCTCGCGTGAGAAAAAACGTGATATCAAATAACGTGATTGGCGGTCGATTTGTTTCGTTCAATTGTATGAAACGCGTTCGAGCAAGAATATATGTTTGACGAAGTAATTATCGCATTTCTGTTACACTTCTTCTTCTCTGATTTTTAATTCTTCTCTTTCGAATACGAATCGACATATGAGAAATATTACTTCGATGTGGAATTATTTAACGCGTCGATTTATTTACGTTTCTTTCAGATTTCACGTCATAATTAATACTATATAGATTTATTATTTTATTACACGCGATAACAATTCATTTGTTCAAAATCGTATTTCTTATTTGTCTAATTAATTATTTATCGAATATTTAATTGTACGTCAAATTATCGTTGACGCGTAATTGCAATATATTTGTTCAACTGAACGATATTGTGTATTTATTCGATTAGATATGATTTGTACGATCATTGTCACGGCGTGATATATAGCGAGCTGTTCTACTTGCTCGATTACATTCAATTCTATTCTACTTAGAGCTTCAGACATCGATGTATTCTATTTATCCATTCAGATATGTGTATCTATTCTACTTATTAGGCTGGCATAGTTATTCAGCTGGCCTCGTCGATATATCAGATATACAACTGCTCTACTTGTCCGATCACACGCGATTCAAATTCCATTTTCCTGTACCAACAATGATGTATTCTACTTGCTTGTCTATACACGCGATTATTATACAACATAATCGAACATCGTTGCAACAGCTATTTTAATTATCCGACTTTAAAATCCGATTTTAATGATGGAAGGATATATATATATATATTTATCGCGTATCATAAATATATTTCCTATTTTAATTAAAAAGTTTTCACTATTATGCAACAAAAACTATTAAACTGAAACTAATTTTCAGTTCACGACGAATCCTCCATCCATAGAGAATCCTCCAGAGAGCTTTCGCCACGCATAGTCAATTAAATCTTTCGACACGAAACAACTTTTACAAATATCAAACTTCTACAATTTCAACCGGTTTTCTCAAACTTAAGTAACTTCCACATTATTTCCACAGTTTAAGTTTTACTCCAATTCGATTCTAATTTTTCTCTCGAGTAATCGATGTATACTGAACTTAACTCGTTTCACAACGAATCTTTCGTATATCTCTTTAAATTTTCATCTTGAATTCCAAAAATATATAAACTTAAACCTTAAAGTTTGATCGAAACAAAATTCTTGCGCGTTAACAAAATTTCAAATCAAAACCTGAATCTCGATATAAATCACCGTTTGCATTAAACTTTTACACTTCGCTCGAAACATTTCATAATCGAATATCGTTCGAACGAAATTCTCCAAAATAACCTTCTTCCCTACGTTAAAATTTCAAATCGAAACGTCTCGATATAAATCACTTTTTGCTTCTACGTTCGCATCAAAAACTCGCATTTAAACGCATCAAATCAATTTTCACTCACTCGCGAAACTTTCATACACCAAAATCTCAATCCCTAAATCTTCATCGATCTTCTCGATACATAAATCGCTTTTCACGTTACTTTACATGAACGCATCGAACCTCGAATCAATTTTCGCTCGAGCAAAAGTTCCTCCACTCCTCTTCCAAAGGATTCCTCCCCTCACGCGTCTATTAAAACGGCATTTAATATTTCATTTCCATCCGAATTCGACGATATTCCTATCTGGGCAAGAGGGAGTACAAACCGATAATATAACTTACCCGACCGCCTCCCTGTAGAAGACGCTGAAGAGCACGATCCCCACCCCAGCGCCAGCTTGCACGACCATCTCGACGAACTCTCGCCGTTTTCTGAAGTAATGGCCCAGCACCAGACCGGCAGTTTCTCTCACGAGGCCAGCCCCGGTGCCCAGCACCACGCCGTAGCTGTTACATTTTGCAACCGGTGAATCGTTCCACTTCCTACTATCGTAGCGCTGGGAATAGCTTGACGATTCGTGAACAGGGACAGAGGAATCTGGGCCAAGTTTGAGACGAATCGGGATTTATCGGGATGCGGGTTGTTCCTCGAAATCGGCAAATTCGCTCTTGTTCCTCGCGAGGAGATGTTGCGGACGGCAAAATTTAATAGTTGAAGTTCGACAACTCGTCGTTCAAAACGTAATTCATCGTTCGAAATAAGCGTAGAGAAGAGCGGATCAATTGTAAGAGTCGAATGCTGGGTATTAACGTTATTCGAGTATTTTGAATAAGTAATTAATTATGGATTAATTATTTCCACGTTCAATTATTTTTACTATTTGAAATTAATAATTTGATCATGCTTTTATGGAGAAGTGGATCAGATTAAAAATTACAAAAAGAAAGAAAAATTGATATGATACTTTTCGCGGACTTTCTTTTTCCTTCTTTCTTTCTTTCTTTCTTTTTTTCTCTTTACGGAAAATAAATTACATCGCATTTTCCTTTTCCTTTTCCTTTTCCACTTTGATGCTATTGCACGCATTTGTTAACGCTATTTGTCCCATATATTTCTCGGGCCAAATCCTGTTAATTCTTCCTTTTCGTGTAGCCAAGCTTTCAACGAAGACCGATCGACTTCGATCCGGGCTATCGAAAGGTCGTATCTCAAGGAAGCCGCAAGAGCGTTCAGTTCTCGCGTATTCTCCCCTCCCCTCCCCACCCCGTCCATTTTTCACTTGCAGAAAAACACAGTTTTGCGTTTCAAATAAGGAAGGAGTGTCGCAGCGTTAATTCGTATTACTTTCAATTTGAATTTTAAATAAGGAAAGCTCTCTTCGCGATTTTTCGTCGTGTTTGCGCGTGCACAAAAAAAGAAAAAGAAAAAGAAAAATAATAATTAAATTCGTTACGTTAAGAAAAAGCGAAGTATTTTTTATGAATTTCAAAAGAGGATGAAAAAATTCGAGGAGGATTGAAGAAGAAACGAATTTGCCAGAATTTCAAGAGACGCGCAAGTAATTCGTCAGGATTTAAGGAAACACGAATTATTCTGCAAGGATTCTTTCACGAGGGAATAAATTCATGAGGGTTCGAGATTAATAATTCATCGAAGATTCAACGCGAATAAATTAATTTTCGAGAAAAAAATTAATCGATTTAATTCGCGACACGATTTTTCGATTGTCGAACGTGTTACGATGGATAAAAGGCTTTGATGAGATTTATCCACGAATTGTAATTTTAAAAGCGAGCTAAGATTTGTTGCGTTTCTTGGACGAATTATTAATTTTACGCAAGCGTGCGTTGCAATCTCTGATTTTCAACGGGAGTTTCGGAAAAAGTTTTTCGCGAGTTTACTTTGAAAGTTAAAATAGGAGGAAGGAGGGGGGAAAAAAAAAATATTAAAGAAACAAAATAAAGGAAGAGAATCCAGGAATTAATTTTATCTTTGAGATTTAAACTCGAGGAAAAATTTTTAATTAAATGCACGACACTAAATTTGAAACAATTTCTCCGACTGAAATTAGAAGAAGAGATAATCGTCATGCTTTATCATTTTCTTTCATTTACGAGGAAACAAGTTTCCAAACGCTTATAGAATTAATCAACGGTGTACTTTGAATTAATTAAAAACTTCAGAGATCACACAGTTCCTTCTTCGCAAATTTACCGCGTAAATAATTCATCAAGTTCAAAATTTATACAAATTTATTCTATAAATATTTTTCTAACTATCTGCTTTTTCAACTCCAAGTATTTATAACGCGTAGCAACGTGTCAAACACTAAACGCCAGAATTATCAAACTGAGAATACCGTTTTAACTTTATTCATCTGTTAAACGTTATAATTACACAAATTCCAGCGTTCCTAATAAATCGAATAAATTCGAAAAGAAATACGAAATAACGATTGTAAATTTTTGGAGAGAAAAAAAGAAAAAAAAAAAAGAAATAAAATCAGGGAGTGCTCAGTTTTGCTCACCTAAGGAGGACCTGGTGCAGTTCCGCGGCGAAAGAGGTGAAGAGGGAGGCCAATGCCAGCACGAGACCCCCGATCACCGCTGTAAGCCTCGTACTTCCTCGACGACACGCGCCAACGACCAAGGGTGCCGATCCACGCGAGACGGCAGCGCTCAAAGCGCCCACCCACGCTGAAACGTTAATTCACTCGGTTAGTTTAAGCCAAACGCGTCAACTTATACTCTCATTCCACGTTTTCTCCCTTAGGTTAGGTTATCTACCTCTAGGAGAACACGTACACGTGTTACCTACTCCACTACGTTTCTTTTTTTTTTTCTTTCCAATTTAGAAAAGTGACTTTTCAGATAAATATTGTAAAAGTAAAACTCGTTCGAACATCTCCGGTGCGCTTTAAATTTTCCATCGTTTTATATCTAAAACTCTTGTTTAATTTTTAAATATTACAATGAAATTCGAACGTGAAAGTGAGAGGATCGATCCACTCTTCCGATCGAGCTCAACATTTTAAACGTTCTTTTGTTCTTTCACGAGTGTCGTCATCCTGAAATTTAATCGCAATCTCGGTTTCGTTCTTCGGGCTCCTTCCGGATCTCATATTTTATGGTTAATTACGGAGGCCGATGGCGCGATTCACGTGGCCAATTCGAGTAATTAAGCGGGGATCTCCGGATTTGTTCGCGTTATACGCTCTTCTAATTAGTTTGATGAAAAGGGGTGGCGCGCTCGCGAGGAAATTCTTTTCCATTATTTTGCGGGGCGGCCGTTTTATCAGGAGACCAACAATACGTCAAGAAGGGATCGAGGCAGGATACGAGGGATTTTTATTGTTTGACGGTTCTAAAAAAGAAAAAAAAAAAGGAAAAAAGACCTCTTTAGTTTTAGTGCTAGAAATTTTCTAGCATTCGTAACAATCAATCTTGGTTCCAACTTTCTATAGTAAAAAAAATACGTGAAATTTGAAATATATCTCTCGTGAGATGAGAAAATGCTGGATGGAATTAAGGGAAAACGGAAAACAGAATATTCCTCTTGGTGAAATCCTCGATTCGAAATCGAGGAAGAAGAAATTCAATTCCACGATTTGATTAATTTCATCTAGATAAGGAGATTCAAAATTCCAGACAGTTCGAGTTTCCAAGACATTCGTTTCCATGTTTTCCACAACTTATCAAAATTAATCCACAACGTACGATATACGTAAACTCTAGATTTCCATTGGCACTTCCAACATACGGGAAATAATACTTCTGTTGCATATCCGATTCTTAGTTCAAAATCTATCAAGGGATAAAGATCCATTCGATCGATCAATCTCATTTGGAAGAAGATGATCCAAAATTCGAAAAGATTCTGGACGATGTCTCGCAGAAGGTGATCAAGAGCAATCTAGATTTTTGCATTATTCATCGAGTGGAACGTGTTCCCTTTGTCCGCCGCCATTTTTCATCCTGCTCGAGGGGGTTGAACGTAACTTGGACAATAATTTTCCTCGGTATTAAACGGGCCGACGTGTCCTCATCGATTTCTAGTTAGGCGATGAGATATATTAGCGCCGACCTGATAACCGATAAATGGCCGGTCTCGATGAAGTTGGAAAGTTAATGAGCGTCCCCCTCACCTTTGTTCCACCGTCCGCCATTTTGGAGAACGGCGAAATTATCGCCTTGAGTTATATCGACGCGCCTCGAGATATGGCGAGGATGGGGGAGGTGAAGCTGCAATTTGCATTTGGAATGGACGCGTGTGATGGAAATGTAGAACGTTCGTCGTGGTATATTAAAATGACGTGCAGGGTATTTCCGTTTAATCGTTCTTTGAGGCGTGGAACGAGCAGAGAACGAGCAGAGAAATTTTCGTTTAATTAAGAGCTAGAATTCTGATTATTTCGCCTTTTATACGTGGCATATCGAGTGCCTTTTTTTTTTTATTATTATTGCGTTATTAAATTACATATACATTATATACATTCATCTTATTTATATTTATAGTTTAATGAACACATTTTTCGTGTGTCAGCGAATAAAATTAATTTTATATTGCAAGTCGAATTTGAATATTAAATGTTTCGACATTTTTTTTACCGATTAATCTTTTAATACTTTACGAATGAATAATCGAGAAAGTACATATAAAAAGAAAAATATATTTTGGAAAGGAGAATTGGAGAGGAGTTCATTTGAAATAATATTCTCGTAAAATGAAGTAGATTTGAACGGATGCAGCGTCAGCCAGATTCGAGGAAACCTATAAGCTGGTACAAAGTATTAAACCATTCTTAAACAGGAAGCTTCTTGAAAATGGGGAACGGATTCTGGAATCACTTCCTGAATTATACAGTATTTTTAAGTGATGCATGCAGGTACATAATCCTGGAGCATAATGGTTCTGCGCGTCTTTAATTTTACAGAAATCGGTCTGAAACTGCAGGTAATCCAGGTCTAACCAGATGCTCTCTCTCTCTCTCTGCGAATTTGCGCTGTGGCTGCGATAATTTCCATTCCGTAGAATGTGAAAAACATTCCATTGGAAATTAATCTTTATTTTTTTAAAATTAAAATTTCTTTATTTATTTTTATTTTTTATTAACTCTACACCCATCGAAATTCTCTTTACCTCGGTCCTCGTCGAACGCTTAACCACTTTCCGGGCTTCAATTGTGATGTGTTCGAGTTCGATAAGCACGCTCTCGTGTTTTTCCGCTCTATTAACCGGTCGATTCTGAAAAATGTTGTCGCAACAGTTTCGACAACCCTATTCATGGGGCTAAGCGAAGGGGAACTCGGTGTACGTGACCGATCCACCATTTTTCCTCGACCGCCTGATTAAAATCTCCAAGATTAGATGCGTTGAAAGGAGTCGAGGAAGACCATAAATCCTCTTTGAAATTCCCATAAAAATTTCACTGTTACTTCAATCGCACCACTTTGGAAAATTTCAATTACAAAAATGATAAAAGAAAATCGATAAAAATTGTCGAAACGTGGATTTACATTATGATCGATTCAACGGGATTAAATATACATTTGTTTCATTTTTTTCCTCAGATGATATATCCACGAAATCGAGTTGTTGTCGAGGACGCAAAGTGTTATTAACGAAGTCTTGAATTATTGAGAAAAGATTAAGTTCTGTCGGTGATGACTCGAAATGGCTCGATCATCGACTTCCTTCGAACTTTCCACGGGTCGAATCGCTTCTTAACTTTGTTGCAAACTTTCGAATAGATGGGATGATTGTAACGTGCTATTGTCAACGATGAACGTTTCAAACTCGAGTTAGTGAAAAGAGCTTGTTTCTTCGGATATTTTCGAAAATCACAGTAATAATGGACGAATGAAAAGGAAACGACACATCTAACGAAGAAGCAAATCGATCGAGAAACACATATAATTAAAAACTTTTCAAAAATTCAATATATCTTAATATCGAAACAACGTTACGTTTCTTCATCGATTAGATAATTCATCGTTAAAATTCTTCGTTCAACTGGAATGGGAATGGAGTTGGAAACGAATGGTAGAATAGTAGAGCGAGATAAATTTAATCCAATCGTGGAGAGGGATCGTTTTCCTTCCTCCAATTTCGAAACGGAGGGGGATGGAAAGCCATTAAGTCGACCATGGGACAGAAAAGTTTCGTCAACGAGCGGCCATACCCGGTCGGAACGTGAAATATTGCGGTGATAATTTCGATAAGATTACGCCCGTCCTTCCTCTCCTCGATCCAAGTTTTCTATTAAAAAGTCGCAGTCCTCATAACTTCCCTACCTGCTGATTTCCACTTCCTCGAGGCTTCCGGTTGAAATGGCAAAGGGAGATCCGCGGCGCAATTCGACTTCCGTTGATGGGCGCGGTTTCATAAATCCTTTCAAACTTCGTAATAAATCGGGAAAAATAATTCACGGAAAATTTAAAATATCCGGGATAATTAATCGAAAACGTGTAGAGCAGATGTAATAGGAACCGAAAGTAAATATTAAATTAAATAAAAGGAATACAAATTTCGAGAATAAAGATAAACAATAAATTCGAGAATAAAAAATTAATCGAAAAATATATATATACTTATTGCGATCGATCAATGAATTTAATTTCGCGAAGAAGAAATAAATTTCGAAAAGGCGCGATATCCCAATAACAATTCCATTCTATTAGAAACGTAATTCGATCTTCTGTCGAATCGAATTTCACAGAGACAAGGACTTTCGTAATCCTTTTTCCTTTTCTCTTCAAAGGAGAAAAGAGAAGCGACGAGAGGCAACGAGGGAAGAGGAGGGAGGATTTCAGATGATTTAAAATCTCTCTTTCCTTTGTTATCGCGAATGACAGTTTCGAAAACACGTGTAGAACACGTGTATTAAATAAATGGGGATAGGAAAGATGGTGGTAGTATATTCTGTATGCGCTCATTAAACTCTTTCTCCCTCTCTTCGAGGAAAGCACGTCTCTCGACTGACTCTTTTTTCCACAACTTTCTTTCCTCAACTTTTCCTCGCTTCAAGCTTAAGAGGATTCACTCTTCCGTAGATACACGCAGACACTTTACCCCCTGGACTAGTTACTTGTCCCTATTTTCCACTTTCCTTATCCTTATTTTCTGAACATCGCGTTCCTCGCACTTCGCTCGACAATTTTTATAAAACTCGTCCAACTTTGCCGCCTCGAAACGTTATTTTTACGTATGGATTCTTCTTTCCCTTCACATTTTCTTTAAATCAATCGACGTGATTAAAAAGATATATGAATAATTGTAGTAAGAATAAATATTTATTGCATCGTTCGATACTTTTAAATTAAAATTTTGCTATGGAATTTCTTTATTAAATCCTATCTTATCGCTTAATCATCTTCAATTCATTCGATGTCATTTGATATATATATATATATACGTCGATATAAAACAGAGGAAAGCTCTTCTCAATCGAGAAAATTCGATCAAATCAAGATCCTTTGAAAGAAGATACCGTTCGAACGGTACGAAGATATCTGTTTCCGAGATGGAATACGATATCTCGCTTAATCGGCGTAAATATTTTCCATCGATTTCACATCTTGTTTATCGAACATGAAACCGGAGGGAGAAGGAGAAAACCGTGACGAACGTGATAGAAAAAAACAAGAAAGTTTTCGCAAAACCTTCTGGATTAATTAATCGCGTAACCGTGTAATTAATTCCAACACCGTGTCGCGGCAA